ATACCCTGATGGATCGTTATCTAATTTAGTTTGGAGTATACAATCCATTCCTCTTTACGCCTTCACTTGATTTGATGTTGATTTTTAAATGGCCTATTGAGAGATATATCATATCCTCCTTCCAAGGCTTTGAATGCATAGTTTCTTGTTTGCCAATTAATTACATTCGGAAACCGCATTCGATTTCATCCATTTATCTTGAACAATATATATTTGCCCAAAAGTGAGCTTTTTGAAAAATAAATTCTGATTTGTGGTGGTTTACCTATTAAAAATATTATATGTGTTAAAGATACAATATGCGTCTTGGGTGGGTTGAAAAATACACGAGATCAATGGGATATACATTTGAAATTCTCATTTCTTTCCAACAGCTTGAGAGGGTGCAAAACTGCGCTGTTTTGTCCCTTGGAGGAGTCTATTGTGGTTGAGAATATTGAGATCATCATTGTGCCATGAGAGTTTTTAGAATGGTTCGATACATATATAGCATGTGAGTGAAAAAAAAAAAATGAAATAAAGAGTGGGGAGAATATTAGGAAAAATATAATGGAATAATTATACTGAAACTGTGATGGATAACATAGTTATTGAGAGAGAGAATTAAAAGGCCAAATATTAAGAAGGAGAAAGTGGAGAGATTGACCTAGGAATTTAATAATTTGGTTTGTGAAAAAAAAAAATTTAATTCAACTCATTCATTAGTTGTATTCAAGTGAGCTAATCACTATTTGTTTTTCATTTATGTAGTGCGTTTCCCAATATTTGTCCTCTACGCTTTGAAAATTATTAAAGCAAAAGGGGAAAAAAAAACAAATATATAAACCAATTTTATAATTTTTGGATTAATATTTTAGGTTCATACTTTTGAAATAATAAATAAAAATAAAAAATAATTAATTAAAATATTAATTAAGAGATGTATAAGTTAAAAAGAGAGACAATTAGATTATATCCGTTTTGAAGAGTGGTTCTTTTATTAACATTTTGCTTGATAAAAAAATTGTTTAATTGTATAGTTTAAAAAAAAAATATCCTGGTTTTAGTTTTAAAGAAAGACCAATAGCGCTTTCACAAAAATCGGTGCGTGAAGTGTGATTAAGTGAGAGACCCGTTGAGCTTTCAAAAAAAAAAAAGTGAAATTTAATTGATTTGCTTCCTTTTTTTTTAAACCAAAAAAATGATTTTGATGATGTGTCTGTATATTTTTTTCACTTATTTTTGATTTATGTTATAGCCATATAATATAAATTTTATAGGAGATGTGTGTGGCAAAGTTCCGAAGCTTCAGCTAAAAAACCGGACACAGAAAAAGAACCTGAGGACACGAGCGCTTCTCCAGTGCCGACCCATCACAAGCGTTCATTTGTGTTTTAACATTCAGATTTCACTTAGAAACAACATATTCACACACTTAGGGCCCAAGGATTTGAAACCTCCCGGTTTCCGGTTTCAAAGTTTTTGAACCCACCAAGAAACAAATAGAGGTTTTCAGGGCTTCAAGGTCTACAGTTCTACGCTGTGTTTCTGTTTCTTGATTCTTGATATAGACCTGGTTAGAACCCGAATGCAACCATGGACTTGGTGGGCCATGCCTACCCTCTATAGGGCGCGTAAGGCCATAAAAGGAAAAGGATATATATTATATATATATATAATATAAGTACATAAATTAAAAGTTATTTATTATATTATACCCTTCATTAAATTAATAAATATGGAAAACACAACACGACACAAAAAGAACATGATTATATAATTTTTATTTTCAAAACGGAAAAACCGTTTACTGAAAAAAAAAAAAAGTACATATGTAGAAACAATATTTTTAAAATTTTGTGTTTTATTATAAAAATAGAAAAAAAATATTTATAAATAATAGGTTAGTACGTATGTACCATATAGATGTGTATAGAGAAGGAAAAAAATGGCCAAATAATTTGATATTAGTGCCAATCAAGATCACAATCTTAATAAATCTCTTTTCCTTGTTATTCCCTAGGTTAATCTATAAGTAGCTCCTAACAAAGAGATTTCAATAAAAAGGGCATTAATAAATTTCATAATTATTCTATATATCTCAAGAGATTAGGTTGATAGTTAAATTAGGAGTAATGCACTAGTCAATCGCTACTCAAAATAGGTAGAAGTAATGAATAATTGTTTTTTAAAAGAAATTCTGATAATAAAGCAGACTCTAGAAGGAGCTCCAAGCGTGAGTGCCCTACAAAAGAATCATAAGATCGCGGAGAGTTCCTAAGATAATCAAGGAACCTTAACCATACGTTGTTAAGAATATAATGATTTAAGAACATTGATGCACTCCTTGATTTGTATATACGTTCATATATAGGGTGTGAGGCTAATTAAGTAAATAGGACTATCAAAGCCTTCCTATATATAAGAAAGTGAAAAGAGCTATACTAATTCTCTCCCAAAAGTAGATTTGTGGATAACCAATTTTATCGCACTTCAGCATAATATATAAAAAACTAACCAGACTGGCCAGTATAGTGCATAAGCTATGTAGTGTCTATATAGTCCCTCACAATTGACCTCGATATGTATGATAAAACCTTTAATTCTATGCATTATGAAGTAATACACAATCTCTATAATTCTATGATTAATGGTAGCAGTAGTACTTACTGTAATCTATATTTAACCATATAGCACAACTTAATTCAATTCAACCGTACTTGATTAATCACACTATTATATGGCGACTACAACTCAAACAATTTTTATGATATCAAAAAAAGTATATATAAAGTATAATCTAGTTATTCTGCAACTATATACATTATACAGTAGTATTATTATTTTGAAAAGAAAAAAAAATATATTGATATATATAATAATAGAGTGAAATTCATATTTATCGTTTTGCGCGAAATAGTTCAATAATAGTAAAACGCGTGAGTCGAACATCTATCTGACACCTTAATATTACACTAGTGTGACATGATAGCCTGTGTCTACTACTAAATTTTTCTCTTTTACGTTTCGAGAGAAAATGAAATTAGGTCACAAGTTAAAGATCTTGGGGCTTTAAGAGGGTGCCTTCTCCTACCATGCAGATTACAGCTAAGATTAGTAAGAAGAGGAAATTACCTTTGACATATAAGCAACAATGATATAATTATAAATGTATTATACCTAAATAGAAAGCAAACTTATTAATAATATTTTCTAAGCCATTTATTAATTAAGTAGACAAGAAATAATGTAGCAGGTGTATATATATCAAAAGTGAAGTAACTGAGATTGTAAGGAAAATTTATAAACAGAGACTAATAGCAATTTTGGTTAGCGCAACGAGCACTTCTCCCAATCTCAGAGAATAAACCTCAACTAGTAAATTTCCAATGATGAACGTATACTTATTTAATCGGTAAGAATTCAAAATACAAGAAGCAGGTTGGCGAGAAGTGCTCCTAATATCCTATTTACATCATAAACAGTTTCTCCTTCTCCATTATCATCTCCATCTCGACATCTTTGAAGTCTTTCGTATGGTCTCCTCCGATTTCTTCTGAGCCACCGAGACAAAAGATCTCTCACTTCCACCGTGCGTGGTCCCAATCGCCAAGTGACACATCCAAGTTGTTAATAGCACCAGACATCCGCTCAAACGTTTGACTCATTAAATATTCTTGGACCGTGCCCATTGTAATAGAAGAATGCTTGACCTGCCGCCTCGAGCGTGACACCATCCTTCTATGAGCTCAACTTGCTTTGCAAGAAGCATGTATATCACATATACCGATTTGACCTTCTTTATATTACCTTCTGTGGTTTACGAAATTGATATCTACCATTCTACCAAAGGGATGAGAAAGTTATATCATTCTCACCATAATTATGGATATTTCAAAAAAAATGGAGTTACTTGGAAATCGTGCAGTGAAAGAATAATCAGAGAAGACGCATATGGAGTTGAGACGTGAATGGATTTCTGGTCTCTCTGAGAGTTGTAGGAATGAGTGCATTCTATCCTCTCGATTTCACTTCACATAACATGCAAACAATACTGCTCTCCGTTTAGAGAGACATTTCTCGACGATAAGCATTCTCATAGAGGCAAGATATTTCTTCTTCCTTCCTTTTTGATCTCCGCTCAGCCTCTTTTTCCTTTTTCCGTGTTTGATAATATGAGCTGAGAGCGCAAAATGTTGTGGGTTAGTGCGAAGTTCCACTTTAGTTAAAGCCTCTAGTAAGATTCATTTAATTCTCCTCGAACGGAGTGTTTCGAGATCCGTAACATTTATAGCCACTAACGTGTGCGCCCAATTTCTTCTTCTATTCCCATTGGTTTTAAATAATATATATATATATAGATTGAGAAAAAGGAAAATTAGGATTTGGCAAAGTTATTATAATCTCTTTTCCTTTTATCCTAGAATCTTATACAAATAAAGGGAATAAATCATCATTTCTCAAATAGTTGATAGTTAAATTGAGTTGCAGTCAATGCACAAAAGTGAGACAAATATTTTTAAAAAATTCGAAATAAAAATTAGAAGGCAGAGCCAAAACTAAGACAAGTACTAGGCTTAACGTTTTATTTGAACATTGCGATTGAGTCAAAGTTTACTTTATATGAGCCCAATAAAATTTATCAAGAAAACAATTTTACCTAACTACCACTGCCAGTAGTCATACATGTGTCATCTAATGTAATTATATAACTTTCTTATATTAATACAATTATTTTCTGGTAATTACTAATTTTTACATATATATATATATAAGCTACAAAATTTTATGATATCAAAAATAATAAATATAGTTTTCTGAAAATTATACGATTTATTATTTTAAAAAATAAAAAATTAATTAAATAATTTAATCGTTTTGGTGTAAACTCGATATCTGACCCTATTACTAGAGACTGTCTAATCTAGTTCGGAAATTAGTCACAGTTAAAGATCTTCGTCCCTCCAAGCAGATGCGTTTAGTGAGAGAAATAACTTTGCATACAACAATTATAATTATAATTTTCCTAAAAAGCAAATATAAAATATTTCTATAGCCATTTATTAATATGAATAAGTAAGAGGAATAACAAAAGTGAAGTAACTAATAAGGAAATTACTAACAGAGACTAATAGAATTTGTAGAGAACAATTTCTCCCAAATCTCAGAGAAAACCTCAACTATAATTCCATGATGACGTTTAGAATTCAAAGACAAGAAGCATTGCAGAAGTTGCTCCAAATCCTTGACCTCAAACATCTCCTTCTCCATTATCATCTCCATCATCGACATCTTGAAGTCTTCGTATGGGTCCTCCGATTTCTTCACCACCGCAAAGCTCTCCTTCACCTTCCCATCCACAGTGCACGGTAACAGCCGCTCAAACGTTGACAATCTTGCCGGAGAGAATGATGCCGCCTCGCTACAGCTCTTTCTTGCCTTGCTTGTAACATGCCGTTTTGCCTTTTTAACCTTCTTGTTTCGATGATTAATACCAAAGGGATGAGATACTTCACTTATGGTTTGCAAATGGGTACTGAAATCTGGGGAAGAATAATCAGAGAAGCTTCTGGTTGATGAGACTAATGTTTCTGTTTCCTTGTTGTAAATATCATCTTCCTCTTCACTGCTGAACAATCTGCTCTCCGTAGAGGAATTTCTGACGTAGATTCTTGGAGTTGATTTCTTCTTCTTTTTGATCCGTCGCCTTTTCCTTTCCGTGTTTGAATGAGGAGGAAGCAAAATGTTGTGGTTATCGAAGTCACTTTTAACCAAAGAATTATAAATTTTCCGACGAGGAGTTTCGTCGTACATTTTAGCCACTACGTGCCATTTCTCTTCTTTCTCCCATTGGAACTCTGTTGCTGATTTGCTGTAGGCGGTTTCAGAAAAGTGATTCGCGGTGGATCTTGATCTGAATCCGCTTTTGATTGAAGCTAGCGCCGAGGACATGTGACGCTTGATGGAAGAGTTATGGGGTTTGGGTGGCGGTGGAAGACGGAGTTTTACGGGAGAAAGTCTGAGAAATGAAGGGACAGGATTTGATGGAAGAGTGGATGGGTCCTTGGAGCGGCAAGAATTGAAAGATGTGATTACCCGGCAGAATTTTACCTTGAAATGTTCGGCCATTTTTTAGCTCGTGTGATGGCTTTGTCTTCAAGCTTTTAGCAAAGCTTCAAAGCATAACCTGCTTGTTAAACAATGTAGAGTTTATATATTGGACACGGTTTACATTTTTTTTTTTTCCTTTTTTCTAATTGCAAACGGGAAACATCTTACCTCAACCGGGTTCATTGCCCCATTTATGGACCAAACATTAAACTAAAGATTTTTATTGATACACTTGGAGCATAAAAGATAAAGTCAGAATAATTTTTAAAGAATCATTAGTTTCGTAAATTTGATTCATAACTGGGTTCATAACTGGGCTATGGACCCGTCTAGATAGGTTTTTTCCTTTCCTTAAACTCCTTTTATTCAATAATAGAGGATTGTTGTATGAAATAGTTTTTTGAAAATTTCTTTCCCCTCCTGGTATATGGGACCAATCAAAAACAAACTTTTAATATAAGAAAAATATTTTTGACTTTTCACTAAAAAAATAAAATAGTATCAATTTTTTAGGAAAATTAATTATTTAGTCTCTGAGGTATAATGAAATTATTTAAGTAGTCTCTTCTTTCTAAACAAATATTTAGAGCATCTCTCACGTTTGGATCCATTATTTTAAATAGTCCCTCTATCCAATTTTAAGAGTTCTTTCCATTAAGTCATAAGAAAACGATGAAAATTTCCCGGGCAATACAAAAGCCACAGACCTTCTGTCTTTCTTTGCCACCTTCGTCTGCACTGCCTCCATCGTCAATATCCTTACCCCGCCATCTTCTCCATTGTTGCCTTCATCATCACCTCCTTCAAAGTCCTTGGAGTTTGCAACTCCTAGTTTAAATATGACTGAAAAAAACTTTCAAAATCAGATGGAATGACTATTTAGAATTACAGATGCAAACATCAAGAATGTTTTGGATATTTATCCAAAAGGAAAGGACTTACTAAATAATACCTCATGGATTAAATAATTAATTTCCCATTTTTTCTAAATAAAACCTTTATGAATTGAATTAATGGTAAATTTTATTCAGACTTTAAGCCTTTTTCTTTCAGAAATATTGATTAAAATTTACAACTATTCGTGTATATTGAAATTCAATTAGCACCACAATTGTTAAGATGGAAAATTCTTGATCATATTTGCATACTCTTCCTCCTAATGCCCAATGAATTTACAAAATAGATATAGCTATATTTGAAAATGTGAAATTTCTTTTATATTTATTTATGGTTTAATGAACTAAATTATTCCAAATTTGTACATTATCTTAATTTCAATCTTGTAAACCAATTATTCTTAATGACAATTTTATTTTATAGTTAAAGTTGAAAAGTAAAAATAATATTTTTATTATTTATTGAAATAAAAAATTAATTTCCAATTTTTTTAAATTTATCTCTTTCCTATTTCTCCAACCACTAGCTAAAGTTGTCCTAAGTATATCCAAGCCAAAGCTTTATCTACATCTGGGTGGTTGAGCCTATTTATATATTAAATTAATTATAAATAGTATTTTAGTTTAAATCAGATATTTCTAACCGTACGCTAGAAAAAAAAATAATAAAACATTGACATTTGTTTTTTTTATTTTTCAAGCTTTTTATTTATTTTTCTAAATTTTGATTGGGTGGCACTTAAGTGATTTATTTATTTTAATAGTTTGTAGATAACTAAGATTTTGTGTCTTTTCTATCTATTCCTCTTAGACAATTGATTATTTACGAATTGTTAATTTATAAATTAAATTAATAAATATTATACATAATTTAAATTTAAATTTTTTGAATTTTTTTATTTGAATCTATAGAACTATTTAATATAATCTAAACATTTAATCGCCATATTTTACGGTGTTGTCATTCTTCTCAACTAGGCATGGCTACCGGTTCAATTTGAACTGAAATCAAACCGTACTGTAGACGAACCAGAATCGGACTAAAACCGTTTTTTTTAAAGTTTTAAGACTGAATCGGCAATTCTAGAACCAGTTAAGGTTCATTTAAACGTTAAATACCAAACTTCAAGCGGCGATTAACCAATGGTTCTGAGCTGGTTCAAACTGAAGTTTTTTTTTATTTTTAAAATTATAATCACTTAGCCTATTTTATAAAATTTAGTATATAATTATATTGTTTAATAAAATTGTCAACATTTTTTTCCTTTAAATATTTTACTTGATTCAAAATTATATTGTTTGAAGCATTTTTAAAATTTTTCTAATAATTTATTTAATTAATAACATCTAGACAAAATGATAATTTATTTTATAAAATTAATTAATTTTATTGCTTATATGAGTACAAGTATTCTAAAATTTATTTAAAATAAATTTACCAATATTTTTTTAAAAAATTCACATTAATTTTTTCAAAGAAAGACGCCTTAGAATCAAATTGTTATTTTTTTTAAAAAAATTAATACACATATCGCTTGAAACCGTAATCGGAACCGTCGGTCCATCAGAACCGCACCGTAACCGGTCGAAACCGAAACCGAACAAGAATTGAAGGTTCAAGGGCCGGTTCAGGTTCAATATTTCAAAAATCTTAAATCGTCGGTTTTATGCACCAAACCGGCGGTTCAATGAACCCGCCATGCCTACTCTCAACCGATATGGAAGCTGAGTCTGTTACACATTGAGACTCGATGTGGAGGTTTTTTGTTTAAAGATTGGTTAATGGAGCTTTCCACACCCATGACTGATGAACAAACTGAGCTCCTCTTTATGATAGCATGGGGAATCTGGCGCAAAGGTAACTTGCTTGTTTGCCAAAGTAAACATATGTCTCATATGCAGGTAACTCAGTAGGCGGTCTCTCTGCTCTATGAATTTCAGCAGAGTATGGAAGTACCAGCTGATAGCGTTCATCATGATGCTACGACAGCGAGACCAGCTACACAAGCTCCTCACACTTGGATGGCCCCTATGGAGGGGATAATTAAAATCAATTGTGATATTGGGATCCAGCAGGACACTCGATGTGGCCTGGGTATGGTAGCGACGAACCGTAAGGGGGAGGTCATGACATCGGGGTTCCAGCGGCTCACTCAACTATTCATCATCACCGAAAAATGCAGAAGCGGAAGCTATGCTGTTTGATTTGACAAAATCTATTGACTTGGGCTTCTCCAAAGTTCACTTGGAGTCTGATTGTTTGAATTTAGTTACTATAGTTTTTAAGTATGGAGTTTCCTCTTTCTGATTTGGGCGCTAGATTGTTGAAAGTCCAAACTTTATTAGATGTTTTAATTGAGTTTCAGATTTCTTGTGGCAAGTAGTGATAGTTTAGCTCATATCATTGCTAAATATGCGCTCTCTGCTAATATGGAGGAGCAAGTTTGGATTGAGGATATTCCTCATCCTTTTGTGTCGCTTGTAATGGTTGAGATAGCCACTTCTTCTCTTCTATGAAATCCAATTTTCATCCTCAACAAAAAAAAAACATTTAATCACCCGCGATTAGCAAATCGGTATAGTTATGATTTGAATTACAATTGTTGTTATGATTATTATTAAACTTTTAGTTAATAATATATTTTAATGCACCTATGTTTCAGATATGTATCATATTTATATTGAAATGAAATTTCAAATTCAATTTAAGTTTATATTGAGTTCTAATATTTGTGGTTTTTAATTGATTTACGAATAAAAAAACATTACACTAAGTTGATTGAAATTATTTATATCATAACTAAAAAAAGTTTGATTATTAAAACAACCTCTAAAAATATAAAATTAGAAAAAATAACTGAAGAAATATACATAAATATCAATTGTTTTATGAATAAATATTATCATTTAACGAAAAACTTTTACATATTTCAGTGTAAATATCAAAAGCTTTTCAAAATGGAATATAATAATAATTATCATTTAAATAATATTTAAATACTTGCGTGCGAAGAGCATAATTATGACTAGTTTAAGTATGGGAAGCACTTACCTGCGGTTTACGAAACCCATCCTGAATTGTAACAAAGGTATTCCCAATCATTCAATGAAAAAAACAAAAGATAAAACATTAATATTTTAAAAAAATACTTTATGCAAGGATATCTGTTATGCTTGATTTTGAAGGCTCTACTTATTCTAAATTTCGTATCAATGGCAGCCTATAGGTTGTTGAATATGAAAGAAAGAATTCCATAAATATGTTATCACTGTGATCGAGCAGCACACTGAGATGGGGGGTGTCCTTATAGGGAAGAAAGTGGGAAGCTTACAGAGGAGGTGATATTCCGTCGCCGGATTTTGGCCCTTGGATGGTGGCTAGCTGAAAAATATATTAGACACAACATCCTGATGAGGTGAAGAGAGGATCCCACATTGATGGTAGTAGGAGGGAATCTCATTTCAATGTCTTAGGAGAGGATAATGGCAAAATTATAGAGAGAGAAGAATCTTCAAAGGAAAGGAATGTTGAATGTATGGATTTTATTCCAGATCATGCATGAATTTTACATAGTGCAGCTAAAGGGAAGTCTGTGGTCCCACAAGGGATCCAATCCAGTCGACGCTCTCCTTGAAGCAACATTACTATAAGGCTTTTCCTCAAATTAAAAGGCTTTCAAGCCCATTACAAAACCGGCAAAGGCTACACATGATGACTTTTTTACTTATGAAAATAAGTAGCCCACTAGTGCTTCTGTGGTGAATATGCCCACTAAACTCAACCCAAAGCATAACTATATAGTCCGAATTATTGAGCCTAAGCTTACGGAAAATAACTCTATTCCTTTTGTGAGAGAAGTGACAGATAACGGCAATGGTTCCATGTCCATTATTTTGAATAATCGCCCTCCCAACCCTAGGCCTTTGCCTTTCACAACGGAAGAAGATTTTGATGGTAACTTTGAAGAAATAAAGAATAATATGGCTTTTGATGCTGAAGAAGAAGAGGATGACAATGAGTTATTCCAGCGAGAAACGAGTGACCCGTACCTTCGAGATTAAAGGGATGCTAAGGTGCAATTTGGAGGCTTTGTTTACTTATATCTTATCTTTTTTAATGTCTATAATCTCCTGGAACTGTCAAGAAGCGGGTAGCTCCACTTTCTTATGTCGCTTGAAGCTTTTTGTGGCTAACTATAAACTAAATATCCTTATATTTGCTAGAACCAA